AGTCCTTACGCTACACCACTCCACATGGTTCCTAAAAGTGATACTGGCACTTGGCGTCCTTGCGAGGATTATCGGCTTTTAAATGCCCAAACTGTACCTGACAAATACCCATATTCCTCATATCAAGGATTTTTCACTGTCACTAGAAGGCGCTACCATATTTACTAAGTTGGATTTTAAAAAAAGCTTTCTACCAAATTCCGTTAGAACCATCAGACATACCCAAAACAGCTATTACTACCTCTTTTGGGTTATATGAATTCACTCGAATGCCTTTTGGTCTGCGTAATGCGGCGCAGTCTTTTCAACGTCTGATTGATGAGGTTCTCCGAGTGTTACCTTTCACTTATGCGTACATAGATGATATGTTAACAGCCAGTAAAAACCCCGAAGAGCACAACAAGCATTTGCGATTAGTGTTTGAGCGATTAGAACAGTATGGTCGGAAACTGAATATTGAAAAGTGTTTGTTTGCTGTTCCCAAGTTGACTTTTCTCGGTCATGTCATGGATAAACACGGGTTAACTCCCTTGGACGAGAAAGCCAACGCAATCAACAGCTTCCCACCACCGTCAACCCTACGCCAGTTACGCAGATTTCTGGAGATGATAAACTATTATCGGCAGTTTATATATAACTGCAGTACCATAATTTTGCCACTATCTAACTTCCTTTCTAAGTATAAAATAAAAAACCCTATGATCACGTTATCTGCGGAAGAGTTAGTCACCTTCAAAAAAGCTTTCAGTAAAAGAGCGTGCTATTTATCTCTTTAGGTAAGTTCATCTAGTTTGGTGGCTTACAGAGGTTCCTATATGATTATCAAAGTTAAGCAACATTGATCTTGGTCAGTACTTAGATGGGTAAACACTTGGGAATACCTTGGCTAACAGTCTAACTCTCTACCTTCGGGCGGGGAGAAACTCGAAAGAAGCTACGCCGAAGGGCGGATTCTCTTTCGGGGAGGTAAACCGACCCTGAACCCGTTTATACGGGTTCAATGGGCATATTTTTGGCCGAGCCCACGGGCCCGGAGAGCCCACGGGCCCGGAGAGCCCACATGTGCCACATGACGCCCTCGTGGCGGGGGGTGACTGAATATCATCAAATACAGTCGGTGCTGTACTTCATCAGGTGGTCAACGGCGTCGAAAAACCTCTATCATTTTTCTCTGTCAAACTCAATTCTGCCCAGGTCAAATACAGTGCATTTTCACGTCAACTGTTGGCAGTATATCTAGCCATCAGGCATTGTAGACATATATTAGAAGGGCGTGATTTCTCGATCTTCACGGACCACATACCACTGACATATGCTCTAAACGCAAAGTCTGATAACCACAACCCACGAGATATTCGCCACTTGGATTACATCACACAATTTACATCTGATATCCGTCATATCCACGGCACTAGCAATATAGTCGCCGATACTTTATCTCGGACAACTCTCAATGCAGTCCAACCTGTGACATTGGACTCTGGGGGATGAACAGATTAATGACGACACACTGTCAGCTATCCAAACAGATACTTCACTAAAAATTGAGAAGCGACCTCTTCCGTTTACGGATAGGACTAATTACTGTGATGTAAGTACAGGTAACTCGCGCCCGTATATACCTCCGTCTATGCGCCGTCTTGTTTTTGACTAATTCCATTCTCTAGCACACCCAGAAGGCAAGGCAACGTTGCGGATCATATCAGGCAGATTTATCTGGCCTTGTACGGCTACTGATATCAAACAGTGGTCCCGTACGTGTTTAAGTTGACAGGCAACGAAGATTGCACCAGCATCAACATTCCCTAACCCAGACGGACGTTTCAACTGCTTATATGTGAATTTGGTTGGTCCATTAGAACTAATTTGATTTCGGAACTAAGTTCCGAGTTGAAATTAGTTTCGAGATGTAATTAGTTTCGAGTTGAAATTAGTTCCGAGTTGAAAATAATTCTGCACCCGATCATGGTTGGCTGAAACACAAGGACCCAGAAGAAATACCCACAAGTGTAAAGTGCAAGAAAGAAACTGTTAGCATAGAATTTACGGTTACATCTAGCCAATTCAATTGTAAATTAAATTATGCACTGGCTATTGTTCACTTCAAGTTGCAATAACTGTAAGTGAAATTATGCACTAAGATAAGTAACCACGTAATCGTTTTAAGTTCTCAGAATATCGGTACCTTAATTTTTAAGCCCAAGAATTGACTTCAAATTATATGATTTCTATGAGAAAAGTAAGGTTACTTTCAATTTTAGACATCTGATAGGGGTACAATTCTAGGAAATCTTACTACATTTGATAGTGTGTAAAATCTCTTTTATCCTTAAAAAAAGCTAACAAATATATCTCGGGTTTTTAATCATTTTACCCCATTCAAGGCAATAAAGCCACAAAGTCACGATGATTTACTGAGTGTGAAAAATAAGAAAAACATTAAGGAAACATTAGATAACAATTTAAAAACATGGACGAATGGTAGACTTACAAATATGTAGGATAGATTCTGAAAATAAAATAGTCAAGTAGTGAACTAACTTTCTTAGTAGCTGACCTAGCAAGCGAAAAGGCACAATGAGTCACTCTTCTGGGGATTAGTATCGACCTTGCTGATTGAGGGCAGAAGGTGCTCTCTCAGATGATTAACAGAAAGCAGTTTCGTTTTCGAGACGTTAAAATTAACAAACCATTCCTTGCCCCAGTTAACTAGATTTTAGGCCACTTTTGAGACCAGCTGTCAATATGATCTATTTTATATGCAAAGTTGTATTACTTGGTTGGCATGTGTTTTCCCAGACAAACATTACTTGTACGTCGACTAATTTCATAATATTGTAATATTAAATGTAACTCATGAGTATTTCTTCCAAAATTAACAAGAATATAAAGCCACATACATTTTTTCTATTTTTATTTTTATTTATGCTTTATATACAAGTATATTTCTGAGTTAGCGTAGTGGTTGATGGTGCAAAAAGTGAGTCGAAGTCAAACTACAGCCTAGACTGTTATTTTACGCACAAATCCACTTCTTCCATTGCCACTGTTTAGAGAGGAGTATAGAATGAGAACTCTATCCTTTGAAGTGAACTAGCCTGAGAGAAGGAAAGTTCTGAATCAAAAAAGAAACCTTGAGAAGCCAAAAGGAAACCGCTCCAATATCTTTCCTAAGGGAAGACAACTCGTGAATAATAAAGAGAAATCTGTGTAGAATTATGTCCCCTTACGCCCTTAAGGCGAATTTATAATATACTAGCAGTAGAACCCGGCGTTGCCCGGGGATGTAACAGTAAGAGATAGATCAAGTATCGACCATCATAAAGACTGAAAAATAAAATTGACAAAGATTATTATTTAAGGTTGACGAACACGCATGTCTTAATTAGTTTTTTTTTTTATTAGTTTTTTTTTTTACGAATTGGTCAAACTCAAACAAAAACATTGTTTTCAATCGTTATGAGTCTACCGATTGAATAGAATTTTATTATAAACAATTGTCTTGTAAATGGAATTTTTAAAGCATTCTGAATGTAAAAATAAAGAAAAAAGTGTGCAAGACAATAAGAAACACTACCTGCCAAAAAAAGTGAAGTTTTGTTGAAATCGGTTGAAAAATGTAGGAAATCCGATCCCATATATAAATGAATACACACACACACACACACACACACACACACACACACACACACACACACACAACCAACCTGGGTTTTATAATAAATATAACTCGATAACTCGATATTAATAAGTAGAACTCGATATGAGTTGTCTCCCTTTCATTAATGCCTCTTAATCGAGTTTTCAAATTGATTTCGTGCAAAAACAATTGTGTTTTTCCAATTTTTGGCGCTGTCAGAACCACCGTAAGGTAATTTTACGTAGTCCTGTGAAGTTTTGTTGAAATCGGTTGAAAAATGTAGGAAATCCGATCCAATATATAAACGTGCAGAGAGAGAGAGAGACACAATCTGCGTTTTATAATAAGTAAGATTTTTAAAATTTACTTTCATGTTGAAGGCTTAATAATGAACAAAAGTAATATTGGCACAATAACATATTCATAGATCATCTGGAATGAGTAAACTTTCTTGCTCGATTTAACTGCTTCGTCCGATTATTTAGAATTTCTTACTTTCTTTTGTTGCACCTACATACTTCCAAAGCACTGATGTTAATTCATATTTTGAGATAATTCTTTGTTGCAAATTCAAACCGAGAACATTTTAGAGTAATATCCTTCACACTTGGTAATATCGCCTTTTTTTTTAAAGAAAGAAATAAAGAAAGAAATGTAAAGGAAAAGAGGAGAAGGCAGGAGAGAAGGAGAAAGAAAATAATTCAAGAAAGAAGAAACGAAGGAAGGTAAGAGATTAGAAAAAGTAAGAAGCGGGGATAGAAAGAAAAGAAATAGGGGCGTAAGAAAGAAAGAAAGAAAGAAAGAAAGAAACAAACAAACAAATGAAAAGGAAGGAAGGGGTAGAAAGGAAGGAGGGAGTGGAAAGGAAAAGAAAAAAAGGAAGAGAAAGAAAGAAACAACCAAAGTAAGAATTGGTCGTGAGGGAAGGTGGAAGGTGAGAAAAAAATGAAAGAAATGAAATGGGAAGAAGATGGAAGAGGAGGAGGAAAATAACAGGAGGGGGAAGAAGAAGGAGAAAGAGAAAGGAAGAAAAATGCAAAATAAAGGATGAGAAATAAAGGTAGAAAGAAAGGAGATTGGAAAAGGTAAGGAGAAGGGAGGTACGGTGTAGCAATGGATAGCGGCTCGGATTGAGGAATCAGAGAGTCGAGTTCGAATTCCAGGCGAATGCATTACATTCACTTACGTGCTAATACGTATGAATCCTCTTCTTCTCCCCCGACCCCCAGATTCTCAAGGGTTCTATAGACTTGGATGGAAACTGGTCTACCACAGAAAGAAATGGCAACCTACTGCGGGGAAAAAATCACTGACTGAAGGAGAATAGGGAGAAAGAAAAGAAAAAAAAAGGAAGGGGAAGTCACGGAAAGAAAAAATGCAAGAAAAAAAAGAGTACAAGGATACATGGAAATGAAGGAATGACAAAGAAAGAAAGAAAGAAAGAAAGAAAGAAAGAAAGAAAGAAAGAAAGAAAAAGGATCTGGAGGAAAAGGCAGAAAAAAATGTGGAAGGAAGGAAGGAATGAACTTGGAAATGTATGAAAGAAGACAAAAAAAAGAAGGAAAGTAAAGAAGGTAAATAAAAATAGAAAGAGAGAATGAAAGATAGGCTGAGGGGAAAAATAACATGAATAGAGAGAAGTAAAAGGAAAACATGAAAGGAAAATGAAAAATAAAAGATGAGAAATAATGGAGTGAGATTGAAATGTCAAGGAGGATAGCGAAGGAAAGCAGAAGGAAGGAAGGAAGGAAGGAAGGAAGGAAGGAAGGAAGGAAGATAGAAAATTGAAAAAGTTAGGAAAGAAAGAAGGAAATGATAAAGAGAAAATGGCGGAATGCGAGAATAGGAGAGAAAGAAAGGAAATCTGAAAAATAATGAATGAAAGAGTGAAGGCAGGAAGGAGATTCAAAAAAACTGAAAGAGAAATAGAGGATATTGGAAAAAGGAAGGAGGAAAAAGAGAGACTGAAGGAGAAATAAGGAGAAGAATAAGAAAGAAAGAAAGAAAGAAAGAAAGAAAGAAAGAAAGAAAAGGCAACGAGAAGAATGAAAAGAAAAAGGAAAAGGGTAGAAGAAAAAAGGAAGGGAATATAAGGAAGGAGGGTAAAACAGAAAGAATAAAAAAAACTGAGAAGTGGAAAGAAAAAAAGAGAATCAGGAGATATAAAATACATACACACACACACACACACACACACACATATATATATATATATATATATATATATATATATATATATATATATATATATATAATATATATAATATAGGAAAAGAATTGTAGAAATGTCATAGATTAATGTATACATCTTTACATGTTTCATTTGTTATTTGAAAATTACATATATATATATATATATATATATATATATATATATATATATATATACTTTTCATAATAAGACGTGTCGGTTCAGAGCGAGGTCAGCGTAACATTTTCGCATGTGTGTACAATTGTTTGTGTTGAGATTCAGGAACACGTCAAAGAAAAAAAAATCATAGTTATTTACAAAGACAGCCTTTAACCAAGAACTTAACAGATATGTTATTTTAAAAGCTCAATGTAATGGCTCAAAGTTTACGTCTGTGTGTTTCCGTTCGAAACCATGAAAATTAATTAAAACTATATCGGTTATAGAGATTCAACCGCACGCCGACTCGAAGGCAATATGGCATATGTCATATCTAAACTAAGAATTTCATGCGTACATATGACAACAAAAATATTAGCAGTCTTGGCATTTCCCAACTGGGAGGCCTCAAGTATCAAGGGTTGATCCTGCACTTTTAAGTGCAATGGAAGAAGCAAGGTCAATGCGTACTACTCCACGACCGGAGTTTCAGGCCTCATTCGGGGCCCCGGGCAGTGCTTTGTGACCCTTACCATCTTATCAACATTTTTTTTCTGCGTGCATTTATATACGTTACTAATTAAGCTAAGTACAACTGATTTTTCTTTCCTTTTTTTTTTTTTTCAATCATTTCATCCCAAGCAAAGCGGTAATACACGGGGGTCGGGCGGGGGTACATAGATAGAAGGTGAGAAACAAGATTGGGTGTAGTGGGGACCGAGGAAAGGATAAAAGATGAACGGGATTCAAGAACATAGAAGATGGCGATTGACGTTGTATTTAAATTTTTGAAGATTGTAGTTGTCAGGGAAGCAAGAAATCGGAAGGGAGTTCCACAGAGGAGAAGTGCATGAAAAGAAACTGTTAGAATAGAAATAGCAGTTACATCTAGCTAGTCCAACAGTAAAACATTGAGACCTGGCTTCATATCTAATAGCACGTTTAAATTCATGTAGTCAAGGCACTGTGTAGGAGGCACTTTGGACTAATGGATAGCGGCTCGGATTGAGATCCGAGTTCGAATTCCAGTCGAATCCATTGCATTCACTTACGTGCTAATACCCTTGGGAAAGGTATGAATCCTCGTCTCCCCGCCCCCTTCCGCCTGCTAGAACAGACCGGGTTCTACAGCGTTGGCTGGCAACTGGTCTACCGCAGAAAGAAATGGCAACCTACTGCTTAAAAAATCTGCCTCGTCAGTCATGTATCGAAAGCTACATGGTCGCCTCAGCGTGTATCGCGCATAGCACATAACTGATTGACTGACCCTTGGGAAAGGTATGGACCCCCTTCTTCTCCCCCCATTATAGGTAAATAGCAGGAAAGACCGCATTCTATAACCTTCGATAGCAACTGGTCTACCGCAGAAAAAAATGGCAACCTACTGCGGGGAAAAAATCTGCCTCGTCAGCCATGTATCGAAAGATACATGATCGCTTAAGTGTGTATCACGCATGGCACATAACTGACTGAGTCAAAGCACTAAGGAAAAAAGCTCATTAGAACATTTGCTACGAAAATATTTGTAGAAAAGACAGAGGGACGCCACGTCACGTCGTATCATCAGAATGATATGCAGAGAATGTTGGACGAGCGTGTTTTAAAATACTTGTCATTTTGGTGTTGGTTGGGAAATGTTTTGAAGAGGTTAAGATTGTAGTATCCAGGGAAGTATCCACGCGGGAGTTTCTCCACAAAGCAGCAGTTTTGGGGAAGAAGCTATTTTCTCGTTATATTTTGGAATGCGAAGGAAATGGGTGGGATTCGACTCAGCTGTGACATGACGTAACCCAGTTATAAAATGTCTGAACACTCGCAATTTTTAAAAACATTTCACCGCAAGCAAGGCGATTATGCGACTAGGGGTTACAGACAATATAAGAGAATGTGGAGGCTTTTTGTGAGACGAAGTGAGGAAAGGACAGGTTTAAGGAAGAAAGGACTTCGCGATTGACGTTGCATTTAAAATGTGAAGATTGTACTTATCAGGGAAGCAAGTAAATGGAAGATAAAGATGAAGCCTTTTTTAATCAAATCGAGGGCTACAACTGCGACTGGAATTATTGATGTTCCCGTCTGCCATATTTTTTAGATTTCCATTTCAAGATACTTGTCTTTTTTTAAAGATCTTCTAAGATACATTATAATCTGCAGGAACTTCCATGTCAATAAACAGATTCTGTTTTTATGGTCTTTGATCGCGATGTCTCGGCGATTACCTTTCATTGTTCTGTCTGTGTGTATTGCAATTATTATTATTATTATTATTATTATTATTATTATTATTTGATCTGCAAAACCCAACAATTTTTTCTGAAGATTTTTGTAATCGTTTCACCCCAAGGGAGGCGACGATCCCACTGAAGTAGAGGGTGCGGGGTACAGCGAGTGAAAGAAAATGAGAAGATTGAAATGGGGATGATGGAGGAAAGGACAAAAGATGAACAAGATTCAAGAAGACAGCAGATGGCGATTGACGTTGCATTTAAAATTTGAAGATTGTACTTATCAGGGAAGCAAGTAAGTGAAAGATAAAGATGAAGCCCTTCGTAAGATGTGAGTTGTACTTGTGAGTACAGTTTTTTTTTTTATTTTTTTTTTTGTATTTCTTTAAGCCATGGACTACCGGAGATCATCTTAATGAGTCTATCGAAACCTTTTTAATCAAATCGAGGGCTCCAACTGCAACTGGGATTATTGATGTTCTCGTCTAGCATATTGTTTTTAGATTTCCATTTCAAGATACTTAACTTTTTTTAAAAAGATCTTCAAAGATACATTACAATCTGCAGGAACTTCCATGTCAATAAGTAAATAGATTCTGTTTTTATGATCTTTGATCACGATGTCTCGACGATTATCTTTGTTCTGTCTGTGTGTATTGCAATTATTATCATTATTATTATTATTATTTAATCTGCAAAACCCAACAAATTTATCTAAAGATATTTTTTAAATCGATTCATCCCAAGCAAGACCACTGGAACGCTGGGGGTTACAGGGAGTGAAAGAGAATGAAAAGGCTTTTTTATGAGGCAAAGTGAAGAAAGGGCAATGAAATGGCGTTCAGGAAGACAGGACATGGTCATTGACGTTGTATTAAGCCATGCGCTAACAGGGATCACTTTAATGAGTTCATCGGAACCTTTTTTAATCAAATCGGGGGCTCCATCTGTGACTGGAATTATTGATGTTCCCGTCTGCCATATTTTTTAGATTTCCATTTCAAGATACTTGTCTTTTTTAAAGATCTTCAAAGATACATTATAATCTGCAGGAACTTCCATGTCAATAAGTAAACACATTCTGTTTTTATGATCTTTGATCACGATGTCTCGACGATTATCTTTGTTCTGTCTGTGTGTATTGCAATTATTATTATTATTATTATTTGATCTGCAAAACCCAACATTTTTTTCTGAAGATTTTTTAATCGTTTCCCCAACCCCCAAGGAAGGCGACGATGCCACTGGAATACAGGGGGTGTACAGCGAGTGAAAGAGAATGAGATTGAAATGGGGAAGATTGAGGAAAGGATAAAAGATGTACAAGATTCAAGAAGACAGAAGATGGCGATTGACGTTGCATTTAAAATTTTGAAGATTGTAGTTATCAGAGAAGCAAGAAATCGGATGGGAGATCCACAGGTGGGAAGTGCGAGAAGAGAAACTTTTGGGCTATAAGTGAGGTCTGCATTTATCTATTTCAACAGTAAAAGGTTAGGGCCGAGATGCCAATAAAGTAACACCTTTAAATTTATGTATTCTGGCCACCAGGTAAAAAAAGATCCAGAGGCGGATATGCAATATAATTTGCCCCGATCTGGCATCTCGTCTGCAGTCGCTCTCTCACACGCACCGTTGCCTCTCTCTGTCTTTTTTACAAATACTTTCATGGTAATTGCTCCGATGAGCTGCTTTCGCTGGTTCCCAGACTTCACGAATTCAATCGTCCTACGAGGCTGACATCGCGCTCTCACCCTTTCACTGTTGAAATTGTTAAATGTAGCCGTCTCTTCCACTCTAATAGCTTTATATCTCGCACCTCTCGCCTGTGGAACTCCCTTCCCTATTCCTGTTTCCTTGATAGCTATAATCTCCAACTATTCAAATGTAATGTCAATCGACATCTCCAGTTGTCTTGATCTATCCACTATCCTTCTCCTCATCCTTTCCTCTATCATTCCTATCTGCTCTCGCTTCAAATCCTCTATAACCCCTTGCGTACTAGTGGCTTCCCGCTTTGCTAGGGTGAAATGCTTAAATAAATAAATGTATATATATATATATATATATATATATATATATATATATATATATATATATATATATATAAATGCTGGCTTATGAAAATTGAGATGTATTTGAATCAAGGTGCCCGTATAATAGATTCAGGGGAGCGTATCATAGATTCAGGAGAAGGCACAAGACCATGTCTTATATCATGACCAACTTAAAGGTTCTTGTAGAGAGGTAGTGGAGTATCACTGCAGAATCATATTAGACGAGGTTACTGTTGGTTGACAGTTGCTAGTGGAAGGTTCTACATTGTAACACGTGCGGCTAAGAACCTTCTAAGTAAATTAATCCAATACCTTCAAAAGAAACGAATTCAGCACGTTAAGGAACCTTACGTATAGATTTTTATATAAATAATGGCATAATTCAAGACAACAAATATACATGCGTTTATTCAAATCATTTTAAAAAAAAAAAGAAGAAAAAACACTTATAAGTTTTGCACTAAGAGAATGTGTGTGTCTATGTGATGTGCCACATGGTTGAGTTTGAAGTGTAGCAGTCTGTTGCCCGGGGATTGAACGAAACTCATGAAACACCGCTTTAGCCTACTAAGCTATTATCCCCATAGGACAATTTGCTGTAGTGAATATGGATCTCTAAGCCTAACCTACTGATTAGCGCTACAAATTCTGCGATATGCTGCTACATGCCATGTTTCGACTATTGCATGCCCATCATGTTTTTACTACTGCTTCCGTTGAAGATTCTCTGTCATGTGTCTTCCTTTCCTTATTAGCTGCTCCCATATTGTATTTATTTCTATGCTTGGCTTACTGTCATCGTAGCCTGGCAGATGCGTTGATCCTTTCACACGTCTAACTCTCCAATATTCTTCCATTCCACAGGAGCTGATGTCTACACCTTTCACTTCATACATGATCAGCTATCCTCGATTCCATTGTCTCACTCCTCACTATGGATTTTCGATATTCCTCCTGCCTTATTTTTACGGAGTGACTATTTCTCCATAGAGTAGAGCTGCTTTTGAATACCGTCCTGGTGTTGTATGGGCGGTAGATCTTCTGAATCTTTTCCGATAAACGCTTGACATAAAGTAGACAGAACGTATTAATTTTGTGAACTCCCTCATTGACTCTTCTGTTTCAAACTATAACTATGTTATGTTTGCTGGTTAGTTTTTATTCTGATGGATTCTTGTTGGTATGTTTCTGGGTCATCATTTATCATTTTTGCTCGATGTTATTGGCATCGAACGATACCTTTCTTCACACTGCATGGATGGTGATAATTGAATTTGAGGTGAAGATTGGCTTGTGATATACAGATGTTTTGAAACCATTCTCTGTGCGAGATAACAGGAAGCCTAATTGATTATTATTTTCTACTCCCATTGTGAACTCAATCGAAAGATATATTGATTTCACATGGTTCAACAGTATTTCTACAGCTTCCTGGTGCGGCCAGAGCATGAAGATATCATCTACGTATCTCAGCTATCTCTCAGTTGGCTTTAATGGTGCAGTTTCTGAAGCCGTTTCCTCGAAGTATTCCATGTATAGGTTCACTATCACTGGTGACAACAGTGAACCCATAGCCGAGCATTCTTCCAGTTGGCATAGGTTCGTTATCACTGGTGACAACGGTGAATCCATAGCCGAGCATTCTTCCAGTTGGCATAGGTTCGTTATCACTGGTGACAACGGTGAATCCATAGCCGAGGATACTTTCAATTGGCATAGGTTCACTATCACTGGTGACAACGGTGAACCCATAGCCGAGAATTCTTCCAGTTGGCATAGGTTCGTTATCACTGGTGACAACGGTGAATTCATAGCCAAGCATTTTTTCAGTTAGCAGATGTCAGACTCTAGTTGGAAATATGTTGTCAATTTTTCTATCACATTATCTATTGGAATGTTAGTATGTTCTCTAGTATGTTAGTATGTTGTGATTCCAATCAGTTTCAAACCCCTGTCATCTGTAAGAACTCTGGTGAACTGGCTTACCCCTTTCAAGTATACTTGTTGATTGTTATGAATAGGAGCTCCTTAGATCAGTTTCACTAAGTGTTCTGATTTTATAATATAGGACAAGGACCTTCCTATTAGTGGGTTGACTATATCCACTAGAAATCTGCATGCTGATTATAAATCCAAATTGAAATACCAACTTTGTGAATATAAAGAAGACCATACATGCGCGACATCTTGGTGTAAAGTTGAATCGTCAACTCTCTAGACTTATCCAGTTCGAAGTAACCCTTGTTCTTATTTAAGATCTGCGACAAATTATTTTAAATTTTAATAACTTCTCATTCCAGAAATTAACATACGAATATTTTTAGAAATAAGAAC